GCCAGGTTGGACAGGGCCAGGAGCAACCTGGGCTAGTGAAAGGTGTCCCTGCCCATGGCAGGGGATGGAATGGGATGAGCTCTAAGGTCCTTCCAACCCAAACCATTCTAGGATTCTAATTTTGCCCAGGGCAGGATTATGACCCTCCTAGGCATGTTTTGCCCACTGGAGGTTCCTCAGCACCAGGAGGCTGCACTTACAGTTGGTTCGTCAGCAAAAAGCTGCAGGTCCTCAACTGTGGCACCCTCCATAAAGGATCCAAGGAAGTTTTTAAACCAAGCAGTGGAATTCAGGCCTGGAATGGCTTCACTGTAGCATTTCTGGTTGGATTCTGCAGTCAGACAGGTAGAAAAACAGACACCAAATCAGGAAATGGGTGGATTTGGGAGATTCTGAGCATGGAACAGAATTCAGTCCATCAGAGGACTCAGCAGAGCTCCCTTAGTGCCTCTGGTCACACATTCCACTCAAATCCATGTGTTCAGACTCCAAGTGCCCGTGGGACAGGACAGATATCTCATTCTTTAACAGCCCTCCAAATATTTCAGCACCTGCCTCTTTCTTCCTCCCCACAAATCTGCCAGAAGGTTTTTGCAGGCCATTAAATTTGGGCATGTTAAGCTACTGCCTAGGCCAGGGGTGTCCTCCCCGGGTCCCTTCCTGAGCTCAGTTCTTCAGCTCTCAGAACCAACCCCTGCCCTGTTCTGTCCCAGCAAAAGCAGGAAATGCCATTCATGAGGGACACAAGTCAGACTGTGCTGATTTATAAAAGTCCTGGATTAATAAAGCCTTCAGGCAGGGAAATGATTCCTGAAAGCACTTATCACTGTCACAGTCCCAGCCTGTTCCTATGGGAGATTCACAAAAAGCCCTGGGAAGCCTCAGCCCCGTGACAGAGCTGAGCCCATGGCAGAGCCCACACTGGGGGCTTAAAGTATCTGTGGTTTCTTAGAGAAAATCAAATCATTTACCATTCTGGGTGAGATAATATTTGATCCCACTGTAAAGATTCCTCTGCTCTCCCTCTGGAAGCTCAGGGTATAGTCCATCCAGGGCAGCCACTCTGCAGATGGACAAGGAAGGCAGACGTCTCAGATACTGATGCAGTCAGGGTTGGGTTCTCACAGGAAGGCTGTTACTGAGGACTGATTTTATCAACCAAAAAGCTTTATCAAAGCTCCCAGTGTGGTTTCCCCTCCCCACAGCCCCAGTGCTGTGACACTGCCCTGGTCACACGGGGCCATCAGGGACAGGAGCACTTACAGCAGCTGAAAGGTCTCACAGGACACATTTTTGCCATGGAGGCAACCAAAGACCTTGGGCTCCTCCAGGAAGGGCTGAAGTCCCCCATGGACCCACTGAGACAGAACAGGAGGGCTCTCAATGTCTGGCACTTGCAGTATCTTCTCCCACAGCCCATTGATGAAGATCAGGCTCCACTCCAGAGACAGAGGCACGTGGGAAAACTGAGAGCAAGAGGTGAGGAGAAACACAGGAATTCCAGTGAATAATCAAACATCAGCATAAATCCACGTGAATCTGAACATTATGAGCAAAATCTGTTGGTTGAAATGATGCTCTTTTTAAGATAAGGTAAAAACTAAGGTAATTTTAACCAAATCCTTCCAGTGGTGAGCAAACAGTTGGCTCTGTGGTACCCACCCGCTGGCTGAACGTGGTCAGGGAGGCCAAAAGCTTCTCAGCACCATATTTGGAAAAGAACAGAACAGAGTATTCTGGATCCACAGCAGTGGCAGGTTTGGAGGCAAGGCAAGAATATAAGGATATGAGGAAATCATCCTGGAGGTCCTGGAGCCAAGTTCTCTGAAAGAGAAAAGGGAAATGCAAATAAATGTGATAAAAGGTGGGTCATGTTTAGAGGTGCTGCTGTGTGGAATGGCCTTCAGGTGGCTCATGTGTGCATTTGGGAAGAAACCCTTCCCTGGGAGGGTGGGGAAGCCTTGGCTCAGGTTGCCCAGAGAAGCTGTGGCTGCCCCATCCCTGCAAG